TGTGTTCAATACTTTTCCCCTGTGCCATTCCACATTATTACAAATAACTTCATTTCTGGACATGTATGGTTTGATTTCTTTGTATGTATGGATCAATTGGTTTGTTACCTACATCTGTTGAAAATTTCATGTCATTAGCACCTCTAGTAATATATTTACTGAGAAAAATGGTGACGTGTTCAATACTTATTTTACCCGCTGTATATTAGTTCAGGAGCTAACATATACAATAATGTACATACTAACTCGGAAGCTAATGCTATATGTATTAGCTCAGGAGTCAACACGATATTTTGCCATATATTAGCTTAGCAGGTAATGCTATATATCTCACCATATATATTAGCCCAGGAGCTAACGTGAAAGCTAAAAGCTAAATCTTGGTGAACCTTCTGAATCAGCTCTACTATCTTCCTACATTTTCAGTTTTAGGTAGAGTTTTTTCTACATTTTCCTCTTTATCAATGCAGTTTAATTTAAAAGGGCTAAACGTCAGGCATTGTCCAAAATTAACTAACAAGCTYAACGGAGCTCGCACAGCAGCGAGTAAATGTCATGTACACAGAACCCTTTTTGGTGTCAATAAYATGGTGATGTCCATGTGACATTTTTTAAACTAATAAAAACAGTAATTTTACAGTCTTGTTTTTATAGTCAAAGTAAGTTTTTATCAAATAATGCCTAATGTTACAAGTCGAAGTTCCCTTTAACTTTTCACCTTGTTTTCTACAAACAACAACAAGCAGAGGGCCGGATTATACCTGCAGCCAGGGAGTCCTCGATGCATTTTCACATGGATTCTTCAGAACCAGACAGATTGCATTGATCACTGAATGGTAGAGAAGCCTCAGGAAGGAGGTCAACAGCACAGGCGTATGGGCTTTTGGCTTGAACTTCAGCTTTACTGAAAACTGTGGAGAGATTTTTCATAAACTTCCAGAACATTAGCGACGTCAAGGTCTTCACAGGAAGCACTACATGTCCATATTATCCTCACCAATAAGGTAATTTTGTCCTAATTGTTCAACTTGCATAAATTCCAAACGCAACAAAGTAGGTTTGTGTTTAAACAGGTGGGGGAAGAGGAACATTTAATGCAAATCTGCTGATTACTCATTGTGAGACATGAAAATTTAACAGCACCCTGCATCGCTCTACGGCACTGATACAGAGGAGCGTTTTTACACGAAGATCCCATGGATAGTTATACTTTAACTAAGACGTAACGCTGCTTTTCATACAGAATTATGTTTGTCCTTTGCACATGAAAAGGACCTGCTGGTGTTTGTTGACCTGTGTAAAACCAGTGCTCTTGGGTTTAGCTAGTGTTGTCAGAAAATTACATTAAAGCACAGACTCCTGCTTTGTTTAAAATGCAAATTTCTGATCCTATCTTCAGCAGCTGAAAGAAGTGCTTAAATTTTTATTTCATGACATTATCTAGAGATAACACGCTGTTTTTCCCTATTAATAATACTCTTCTTGCACAGATTTGCAAAGATTTAACTAACATTATCATAGGAAAAAAAGCAATCTTGAGCTAGACAAGGAATATACCTGTATTTCACATTTTGATCCAGAAATGTTTGTTTTCAATTTATTTCCAAACTACGATAAAACCATTAATCAGATATCAAGACAGACATGCAACTGGTTCAAGCTGAAAACAAAGCTTATTAGCAAGATAAATTAAAAACTTTAGGCATGTTTTTTTTCTTTTACATCTTTTTTTTATTCAGATACTCAATCATGAACAATTAAACCACTGAGCTAAATGCTAACATTTCTGCTGCAGTATTTAACTCCATTGTGTTAGCATGCTAATGCTAACATCTAGTTAGCTTTAAATACAACATTTCTGTGACATCATCACTATTTTTAAGTTTTTGTCCAAAAACAACTGAACTAGGCTGAACGGTCACACCAACATGTTAATGGCACAGCGAGGCCATTGTGGCAAGTGCGGCATTCAACCTCTGTATTAGCATGCTAGTGCTAATTTTTAGCTAGTTTCAAACACAAAATTTTCAGTGACGATATAAAATATTTTCAAATATTTTTGGCCAAAAAAACAATTGAACTGGACTGAAAGCTAATATCACAATGCTAACATTCACATAATGAGACCTTTTAGCAAGTGCAGTAATCACTGTTAGCATGTTAGCGCTAACATTTAGTTAGCTTCAAAAGCAAAATTGTGATTTAAATATAAAACATTTTTCAAGCATTTAATAAACAATTAACATTAAAATGACAACCTATGCTCTTAGTTCGGATTAATGTTATGCTTTGAACACGTTTGACTGAAAAAAGCTGATATTTTCCAAAAATTAAGCCGAAAGCTAACACTGAATTCTATCATACACATATGGTGCGCTCACACCGAACGCGATTTCAGCATCAGGAGCAGCAGGTTTACATACAAAGTCTATGGTGGACGCGCTTCAAGCAGCGTCGGGAAGGGCTGCGGCGCCTCAAGCGCGATTAGAGCAGCGCGATTTGGACGATTTGAACGATCTGAGCGTTCGACGCGCTGAAGGCACAAATCGCTGAAGTTAGAAAATCTGAACTTTTGCAGCTCGACGCGCAGCGTCAACCAATCAGAGAGACTCCACTGTGTGACGTAGCGACATATTTCCCGACGGGACAGTTTACTGAATGATGTCCACTAACCTGAAACAGATGGAGAGGAGCTCTTTAGCTGAATCCAGTGCCTGCAGTCGGTGTCCTGACAGGAGATATCCACACCAATGCGTGGCAGCGACTCATCAGACTGGACTCGGGACAAAAATAGTCCTGAAAGCGAGATGTGAGCCTCTCCCRCAGCTCCTGGGTGATGAAACTCAGAATGTCTCTGAATTATCTGGTGAATTAATTATGAATTAATTATCTGATGAACGTGACATGCTCTTGCTCTCTGTAAATAAAGCAAAGCCACTTCCTCGTCCGACATTAAACAGAGCCCGACAGAGGAGGGAGGGGCGGGGAGGCTCTTCCCGTACGAGCGCTTCAAGAGCTGACCTGCGTCTGACCTTAAAGTGCACAAGCGACCAACTTGAAGCGTTGGATGCGATTTTGAAGCTGAAATCGCGTTTGGTGTGAACGCAGCAATAGAAACACCACTCTAACAGACAAGTACTGTATTTTCACCACAGTTTTCTCATAGTAAAACAGTATGAAGGTTATCTTTAAACACAAACATCATCACAAAATATTTTCAAGTATTACTCAGAAACAAACTAATGAATCTGTAAGCTAATTCTTTTTCATTTTCGCATTGCTGACAGTGTTATTTAGTGAACGCATGAGACTAACTGCTTCTATTTTGTTACAGGTGCATTAGCCACAGCCGTAAATGTCAAGCCCTTGACATGTAAACCATCTGGACAAGAGCAGAAGGCCAAGCAGATGCAGTCATCTGGAGCAGACAGGGTCAGAACCAAYGTTATGGTCGTTCCCTCGAGAGTTCCCTGCGGGGTGAGAGGCACACTCCTCTAGTAAGTCCATTTGTTGGTTCAGACAGCAGMCGTGACACTGACCGAAGCGGCAATGCCTGCTCTCGTCTGCTCGGCAGAGCTCCGCGGAGGTGTTCGTTCTCCTGAAAAACAAGGCGGCCGACAGCGACTGCGAGGTGGAGTTCAGCGATGGGAACCAGAACGTGAGAGTGAAGCCCGCTCGGTGGAACGAGCTGGTCCTGCGCGTCAGTGCACCGGGTGAACAAAACAATAACGTGATAATGACCTGCACCTGGAGAAACACTCTAAATAAATGTATGACCCTGGCATGTTGTTTTTTTTGCTGCAGACTTTCCTGCGGGGAATGTGAGGGTGACCGTGTACAGCGGTGGAAAGTCACTGAGAAGCACACACTTGCAGTACTACACCGGCAYYGAGGAACTCCACCGCCTGCTGTCAWRYGTGGCAGATCCTGTTCACTTCATGTGCCAGGTAGAGCTGTCACATTCAAGAAATGTTACCTTGCTTGTGTTTAGTAAGGGGAATTTTATTTTATTTTCCCCACAAAGGTCAATGCGGAGTGGGGGAATCCTTATCTTTGCAGAAAAATTTATGGGCTGAAAATAAAAGCTGTACCCCGAGCTGGGATTGTAAAACATATACCACTGATACGCAAAAAAATAAAAAAACACTGTATTCTAATTGTAAATAAATCTCATTTTTACTAATAAAATAAGTTTCAGACAGCAACAGCATAAAACAGTCAAACCAAAAGTTCACAGAAAATGTAAGAGTACAAAATCCAACGAATTACACTGAATTAAGTAAATTATTTCATTTCATTTATTGTTTATTTCAATAGGGGCAAGTGTCAAGTATTAACAATACTATGCACAACAAAAAGAAAAAAAATGTATAGGTCCTCTGGACGGGTTCTTCTCTAATGAAACGTTTCGTCTCTCCTCCAAGAGACTTCTTCAGTCTGAGAGTTT